CCCAGCCCCTTATATTTATTTTTTTATTTTAATTTTTTTTTAATTTTGGAAATAGGGTCTTGCTAAGTTGCTTAGGGCCTCACTAAGTTGCTGAGGCTGGCTTTGAATCTGTGATCCTCCTGCCTCAGCCTCCAGAGCCAACGGGATTATAGGCACGCACCACTGCATCTGGCTTGCAAAAAAAAGATTTCCATATCATTGTTACATGCACTGTGGGTTCTATTGTTTTTTGAAAATGCTGCCCAGTATAATCCAGGTTATGAGTATTAAAAAAATAAATAATTACAATAATGCCAAATCCAACATCACAGGCTTCCATTCAAAGGTCAAGCACCCCACCCATAAAACCGCTTGGTCAAAAGACGACAATATAACTAGAGTGCTGTAGTACATTATGATGACTATAAATTATTAATACGATTCAATTTTAAGAGGTAGCTAAATGCTCACTAGAGTATTTTAAAAGCAAAACAATCTCAAGGCATCAGCTTGAGTTATGCAAAAACAAGTTGGTAAAATATTACAAAATAAGGAGGGGAATCATTTGTTCTCGGCTCTAGGAGTGGCCTTAATTGCTGACTGGTCTTCTGGGGTTTTTTATTAATGTTGTTGGTTTTTCAGTTATTTTACTTAATGTCAATAAAATTAATGACTACTAGGAAGGCCGCAGCAAGAGAATCACTTGAGCTCACGAGTTGGATACCAGCCTGGGAAACTTGTGGAGACCCCCCTCTAAAAGAAAAGAAAGGTAACAAAACAAAAACCAAAACACATCTCTTACTCTGTGGTCAGGAACGTTTTCTAGACGCATCATTGGATTGGTCATTTTTTTGAGGAGAAAATATTGGTAGTAGTTACCTACCGGTTGTCTTACTACGGCCACTATTTCTACTACCAAATTTTCTCCTCCAAAATACACTGCCACCTCTTCACTCTATTGGAGAATTGTGTATAACGAATTAGACTTGTTCCAAAATTCAGTCATAAAATCATAACTAGAACTTTCCAGGGCAAATGTGAATATTTTTTACAATTCTGGACACCTTGACAAACAGCTCTCTTATAAAAGTTATGACTCTTCATACTCCCACCTGAAATGTAAGAGAAAATCTCACAGCATTCATACCAGCACTAAGTGTGATCATTGTTTAATCTTTTCTAGAAGATTTCTTTTATACTTTTCAAAATAGCATATATACTCATTTAAATACAGCAGCTTCTTACAGTATGAGTTTGCATTTCTTTGAGTAATATAGGACATTTTTAAATCATGTATAGTTCCTCTGTGATTTTTTTCACACAGTTTCTTTGTTCCGATTTTTTTTTTTTTCGTTTGGGCTCCTTTGGTGAAGTTTTCTGTTTTTTTTGTTTTGTTTTGTTTTGTTTTGTTTTGTTTTGTCTGTGGGAGTGGTACCTTTTCTTAACGGTATACTTGAACTCCATGATTGCTTCCTTCATTTTGCAAGTGTTTACTGAGTACCACAAGGTATAAGGCAAAGTCATCTAAGCACTGGAAAATACAGAAGAAAGAGTCTTTCCTCTTCTGGAGCTTAAATTCTAGTAGTATTTGTGATAAGTAATTGTGTTAAGATATAAATACAGGGCGGTGTGTTTTTTAATGGCATGGGTTACATAATGGCTTCATGCAATGAACTCTAAGCACGAGGCTTAGCTCTGTGTTGGCACAGCACTGCGTTAGGCTGAGCGCACACACACACACACACACACACTTCTTTTCCTTAACCAGTGGCTAACCTGGATTGCCACCCCCTCCAAAAATCCTGCACAGACCCGTTACTGACCTTGAGCCACACTTCTCAAAGAATCTGCACAAAGCTCCGACGTGCTTTCCTCTGTTGAAGCTGACCCCGAGCAAGATCAGTCCTCAAAAATCTAAGCCTCAGAATTAGTCAGAGCAGGAGAGAATTTTAGGCTTTAATATTTTGGCATAAACAAAACAAAACAAAAAAAAGCAAATCAGAAACTGGTCGCCTTCCAAGGCAGCCTGGGGTACAGATTCTGACCATAATAGGCCTCAAGGGCGCAGTCGCATTCAAGCCCCCCAAAGAATTCCAGACCTTCCTACTCAGACTGGGCGTGCTTCCTGGTAAAGGGCCTTTCTGACACAAGACCCGAGACTCCTCTTGTTCCAGAATCCCTGAGCTCACCTCAGACAAAGGCAGGTGTGTATGTCCCTCCTACCAGCCTCAAGTGGCTCTGCTCTACCTCCGCCGGGTGCTTCTAGAACATTGGTTCATGCATCCTTTGCATGGCTCCATCTCTCACCCCTGCGGCCTGTGCCCAGCCCTCAGATCTGCCCCTCTGTGCCTACACACCTCCCATCACCTCCTTCCAGCTGCACTGTCCTCCCCCTTTGCCCCATGTGCTGTGGGACAACTTCCCCATCTTTCCATGATGCAGACCCACACACACACACACCTCTTTCTTTGGCCTCCTTTGTCTCCTTACCAAATACCTCTTCCACCTCCTGCCTTTTCCCACTTCCTGTGGTCCACTGGAGATGGTGGGTGTAGCTGGCCTTCCTTTCGCATCCCAGGGGTCCTTCCCATCCATCGCCTGGCCTTCAGTGCCTGCTCTCCACATGATTGACACTTACCCAAGGGTAAGCTTTGTGCCGCAACCCTAGACCTCACCCAAGTCTAACCCAACACCTGTTCCCCCAGCAACTCACAATATCTCCAAGCACCATCTCTCCCCAGGGCCATCTTTGTCCTCTACTAATCTCTTAACTCCCGATCTTTCCAGAACCTTCAGTCACTCAACCCCTGTCTATATTTGCCAGCCCTTCGCCCTCTCCTACTCACCCTCCCTGGAAGGCATCGTCTATTCTGCCCTTTTCAGAACCTTGGATTCCTCCTACCCGCTCCCATATTAACCAGTAGGACAGCTGGGCCACTGTTAATGGCCACCGTCCACTCTGACCCCTTTGCATTTGTCAATGCCCAGGCCACTCCTTCCTCCTACAAATGTCGGTATCATTCCCTCCACCTGCCATTTCTACTTCCAATTCTGCCCCTCCCCATCTCAGCCAGAGGTGGGAAATTCCACCATCTGTCCCCATCCTGGGGCCACAGGAGACTGGACCTATGGTAGTCACCCGCCTTAAGAATGCCTAATAAAGCCAGGCACGGTGGCCCACGCCTGTAATCCCAGTGGCTCAGGAGGCTGAGGCTGGAGGATCGCGAGTTCAAAGCCAGCCTCAGCAACATCGAGGCACTAAGCAACTCAGCGAGACCCTGTCTCTAAATAAAATACAAAATAGGGCTGGGGATGTGGCTCAGTGGCCAAATGTCCCTGAATTCAATCCCAGGTACCAAAAAAAAAAAAAAAACAGTCCACCTTGTTGGAAGCATTGAGTCGCTTGCTGGAGAGTACTGCAAGACAATGCTGAGGCCCAGGGACCCCAGCAGCCCAAATCCACAGCAGAGGAGAAAGGCCCTGCGAAAGTCAAGTCTTCCAAGGAGTGGAACGAAGCAGACATGCCCAAGGGGAAGAGCAATGGTCAGAGCCTGAGGATCTGCTGGACAGCTTTCCAGTTCCCACGAGGTCATCCTGAGATCCCCTGACCCCACACCACACACCCCAACCTCTCCTGAGCCAAGCCGGCTTGTGTTCCTTGCCACCGAGCCACCCTCCACGGAGACACCTTTGCACACAGCTGCTGGGTGTCCCCACCGCCCACGTCTCCATTCTTTTCTTCCACCGGAATCTGTTTGCCCGTTTCTATTGACACCGTCACACAGAGCACACAGAGCCTGATTTTTCCCCTTGAACAAATGCTTCCTGGCTTCGTCCCAAAGAGAACAAGCGGCCACCCCATGACTTAATCACACAACAGGTGAGCCGCTCCGTGCCAGCATTGACACCAACTCGTCTCCGACCTGCTCCAGCGCTCTGCCCGCTAGAGTTTCCCAACAGCAACCCACTCGGACGACTTTGTAGAGGATCCAGAAGTCTGTCGCACCTGTGGCCCCAGAGCAGCGGGAGGCATCTGGCTGCCAGGGCCAAGGCCCGTGTAGGAAGAAGGGGACAAAATGTGTTCAAGTGAACATTCTCCTCAAATCAGTTAGAACCTCAGCGAGGAGATTAATGGTTTCCATGGCAACCAGTAAGCCCGGGAGCCTGGGGAAATCTGTAGCTTTTTCAAAACTCCTGGGGACAAGGGTACCCACCCTTGAACACACCCGTTCTGCCACAGGCTAGAAAAAAAAATGTAGACTTTCTTTTTCTTTTTGGCAGTACTGGGGATTGAACCCAGAGGCTCTCTACCACCTACCCACAATCCGCAGCTCTTTTTTTATTTTTAATTTTTATTTGGAGGCACGGTCTCACTAAGTTGCCAAGGCCAGCCTCAAGCCTCCAGCCTCCATTTCCCAAGTAGGTGAGAACCACGCCTGGTTTCAGTGAACTTTTCCTTACGCGTTTTATGTCTCGGTCTAGAATGATCAGTCCTAGAGAAAATTTGCTTTTTCGCTTTGGGGGCCTCTGATTGTACACTATTGTGCTGCACCCAAAGACAGGAAGTTCCTACAACTGTTCTGTCGGAGGAGGTCACGGTGCAGAGGTATGGTGTTAGAGTCTGTAAACATCCGGCAGTATGGAAGATGGTCTTGCCTGTTTCGTTGGGTCTTGCCCATCATCCTTTTCTCTCCTCCTCCCCTGTCTCCCACTCTCGCGACCCTTGTCCGGCCACTCACTTTCAGATAAAACACTAAGTGTCACATGACTGTGGACTTGAATATAGCCTCTCAGGAGCACTTCCAAGGGAAGGGGACTCGCTCTGGCAAGCATTCAGCTCTAACCAACGGCAGGTACTTTTCCCCTTTGGACAACAGCTTTGGAATCACAAATCATCTTACACAGATTTCCAGTCCATGCAGGCTCCCTGGCAGCCCGTTCTTTCAGGGACACTATTTGAAATAAAGACTGGCCATCCAGAGCAGAAACAGCAAAAGCACATTCTTTTTGTTTCATTTTTTTTTAATTTTGACTTTTTAAATTTTTGCCACTGATACATTAAAACATTAAAAAGTACATATTAAACTGATGTGGGATGAACTCGGGTAGCTGGAATGGTGTCTTCTGGTTCAACACATTTGATCCCATGCACAGAGCCCTGGGTTAGGAGTCTGAGTACGTGTCAGGGCACCACTGCCAAATGGAAGCCGTCCCTGGAGAGATGGTTCTCTTTGTTCTAACTCACCGTACATCAAGCCAACACCTGCCCTTCTCTTTGGCACAGTACACCAAGATCTGCCTAGGGGAAGGGCCCTGGGCAAGTGATTGGCCTTGAATTCCAATCTATGTTCCTTCAGCGAAAAATAATTTCACTAACACAGAAAGATATTCCCAATCTATGGATAACTAAAATATTAGTTTTGTAAAAGGTGCACTCCAGGATTGGACTAGAGGAGGAGGTTGGGGTGGCAAAAGTATATGAGGAAAATAACACAAGGAGGCTTTTGCAATAATCCAGAGGTGGTTGTGGCCTGGACAAGTGCATTGGAAGGTGGTAAGAAGCATATACATTAATTGAATTCTGATTAGTTGGATTGTAAGTCATTGACATTTTCATGTAGGTTAGATGAAAAATCTTATTTGGGTCCAAGCACTCCTCCCTTTATATGTGTGGGACTGGATGTTCGTCATTGTAAGCTAAGAGGGAGTGACCAATTTACTGTATCAGTCAGGATAGGTTAACATGAGCATACATAACAAACAACCCCATCATCTCTATGGATTAAATAGGAAGTTTATTTGTCTCTCCCTCTTCTGCTCAACACAAGTCTGTTCACCTGTCACTCAGGCACCCAGGCTGATGGAGGCTCCGTCTCCACACATCTTCCACAATCACCACCAAGGTGGGAAGGAAGAAGCTTGGTAAATTGCCTCACTTCTCACATTTAATTGGCAAAGCAACACCTACCTGTTTTATCAGTTGGCTTGGTTAGCATGAGTCAGTCCCCCAGATAACATTTGACTGATTAAACCCAGTTTCAGAACAAAAGAGTTTGATGGTTCCATTAAGGAGAGGCACCCAAGCAGCCTCTACCTACAGTAGTCAACACACCTGCCCCCTCGCATTCCAACCCACAGATGTCAATGGGAATGTGTGTGCACAGATGGATGGATGGATACACATCTGTATACGGTACTGGAAAAGCCAGAGACAACCGAGTTAAAATGTTTATGGACCCTGTAAGAAAGTTTTCTGAATAAACACTTCACAAAAAGAAACAGGCTTGGAAATCACACAGACCTAGCTCTGTGACTAGGCAAGATACATGACTCAGCCTGTCCACTTTAGCAACCTCATATATAAAATCCACATGATATCCACCACGTCCTGTTGCCGACAGATCAGTCCTGGTCTCCCCATGTCCATCCAATAACAAGGACACTGTTTTGAGAAAAAGGAAAAAGAAGATTGATGGCTTTGCTAGCAAAGCAGAAACACACGGGACTCCTGCTCCAAAGGCTGCGATTCTGCCCATCAGCAGGAAGGGAGGGGGAGGCTCTTAAAGAGGTGATTCAGAGGCTCCATTCCACACGTTCTCTGTTGGAGTTGTAAGCACTTGTTAATCGGGGAGACAGTCATTTCTGAGATCTTCTGGTAGATCCCCACAGTTCCTATGGTGGGTGGGTGTGTATTCAAGGACAGATAACTCTGCCTAGGATGGGGAAGAAAGGTAATCCTGTTTCCCCTGAGATTAGGGAGGGGGAGAGATCAGTGAGGAGCAGGGAGAGAGGAAGAGAAAGAAACATGTCCATTTAAAAATAAATTGTAGTGGCAGAGCAGCAAGGGCTATATTCAAAGCATAATGTGGACCCCTGTTTTTGTTTTTATTTATTTATTGATTGATTGATTGATTGATTGATTGATTGGTACTGGGACTTGAACTCGGGGGTATTCAACCATTGAGCCACATCCCCAGCCAGATTTTGTATTTTATTTAGAGACAGGTTCCCACTTAGTTGCTTAGTGCCTCAACTTCTGCTGAGGCTGGCTTTGAACTTGCAATCCTCCTGCCTCAGCCTCCTGAGCTGCTGGGATTATAGGTGTGTGCCACCGTGCCTGGCCTATTACAGTTTTGTTGTAAAATAAAGTACCTAGAAACACTGCAGCTAATCAACAAGTGGTAGTCAATAAGTGGTCTGTTTCATTTTGTTAACTGAAAAATATATATGGTGAATACTTGCTTTATCTTGTTAAAAAGGGGCATCTATAAACATTCCTACTAATCAACATTTCTCATTAAAAGGATACTGGCTAATAAACATTTTCTTACAATGTTGTTAAAAGTGCATGCTAGTGTTCAGGAATACCTTCTCTGATTTCCTTAAACTGGGCCATTTGAACATTTCTGGCTGCATTTGAACGAGAGTAATTAATTCTGATGAAATATTAGGGATAGCATTCCGCTGTCATCCACTAAGCCTTGGACTCATGAATAAATTTTAACTTTGGAAGTAATTGATGTCTTACACTATTAGGTAGCTATTTATGTGGTACCCTCAAACATTTCACTTTGGAAACAGGGTGAAGATTTTAACTGATCTTCAAATCATTCAGCAATGCACGATTTACTATTCCAATAAGATGGCAAAAGCTGTTGTCCAAGCAACTAAGAGTTTCATTTAATTTTATGTAGTCCTTTTTGAAGTGTCAATCTCCATTCACTGGATGGTGCAAGCTTACCCTCAGGCCCCCATTCACCGCCTTCCCCCAAAATTCCTTAGGCAAATGTTTCAACTGCTATTCCAATTTTAATCAGTCCATTATAGGTACACAATAAGTGTGTGATTAGCATATGGTGAGGGATATGATTACAAATGATTCTTCACAGAACATTTTAAATTGCATCTGTCATAAAAATGGATTCCTTATGGAACCAGTCCAAACGAAAATAATGCTTTCTGCTCTGGGCCTCTAATAGCGTCTGCTTCAGTGCTCGGATATGCAAATCTGAATCTAGAATAGCATTCACCTACCCCTGTGTCTAGACCTATGGGTATCCCCGTGGAGATGGAAGCTCTTGGGATAATTGACCAGCCATGGACCATTGTGCTTTTTTTGGTAGATGGTCCGTGGCTGAGTTTAGTCTCTGTTGTTTTTGTTGACACACAGAACGTGTATTAGCCATATTATGAGTTTGTGAGAGATTGCATATTACACCTCCTATTTAAAACAATCACTGAAACAAACAAAATTCCTCTGATCATAACATATGGGAGTTCAAATTTCCTGTGACCCCATGGAAATTTTTAGTGAGTGCACGTTAATGACACCCAAAGGACGCCTGATAAAATAGGCCAGAGAGAGAAGGTGACACGATTTAGTTCTCCTCCCTAATCCATCATTGTTCCCAACTGGCCACGAAAAGGATTCTTTTCACCCTGAATTTTTGATAACAGGTGCCTGCAGGTCATTGGTTGGCTTTTAGCAAAGTTTTCTTTGGCTGATGAGAAACTTAGCAGGTGAGCTCCTTCCTATTCTTCTTCGTCTCTGGGAAGAGGAAGAAAGATGCTGAAGATAAAAGGTACAAGCCTAATTTGGCTTGGTGGCACCCTGTGTCCCTGTGTTAGATGAAGTCTGTCCGAGGTGGGAGAAGGGGCCCTGGATCAGCTGCTCTCTTAAAAATGGGAAAGAAATGCCTAGGTTCTCTACTGGGAAGGGTGGGGTGGTCCCTTCCAGCAAGGGTGGGGCCCATAATCCTTTTGATTATTTATTTACTTATTTGGTACCAGGGATTGAGCCCAGGCGTGTCTAACCACTGAGCCACATGCCCAGCACTTTTTATTTTATATTTTATTCAGAGACAGGGTCTCGATAAATTGCTGAGGTTGGCTTTGAACTCATCATCCTCCTGCCTCAGCCTCCTGAGCCTCTGGGATTAGAGGTGTGCCCCACCGTACCCGGTGGTCCTCGGTTTCCTCACCCCTCCTGTTCAGCAGGGCCAGCTGTATCCATGTAAACCTGGACTGGTCATTGCTCTCTATCAGTAAAATTAGATGTCAGAGTCTCCGTGGTGGTGGACACGCTGACTGTCCCCTACTGCACAAACAGTGATTGCATAATGAAAAAGGCAAAGTATTTTGGGAGGCCAGCAGACCACTGAAGGTGTCCATCATGAAGAAAAAACACACCTGCCTTTCTTTTTATCCTTTTTGTTATTGCCGAGCTATCGGTAGACAAAGACTGACTTAATTCCTGGAGCCTGGCAGGACTTCCTCGTGGGAAACAAGGTCCTTTAACCTCTCTGCGCCTCACATGCATCCCAGGGAAGGGGAGGCAGGTCACACCTACCCTGCCCACGGCTGGCCAGGGTGGGTTATGAGCATCAAATCAGATGTGAATGAGGAACAGCGGGACGAGCTGTCATCCCCACCCAGTGTCAGTCAGTGTCACTTAGGCTTCAGAGGGACACCCGGCACCCGATGCCATTTTAGCCAATTAGAAAAGATCTTCTGTGGGGGGCGAGGCAAAGCGGCAGGATTCCAGGGTGGGGCTTCAAGATTCCTTCATTGGGGATCTGCCCACACCAGAGCCAGCCAGATACCAAGTACAGGGCAGCCCCCTGCCCACCCTCGCTCTCCCCCCTGGCCCCCGCCCAGTTTGCCCCACTGAGAGCATCAGGACCCCAGACCTTCCCCATTCCCTGCCCTGCCCTCTCCTCTGATTGGCCTACAATGAGACCTAAGAGATCAGTCTGGTCCCTGCCCTCATGTGGGCTTAGGACAAGTGGTCCACAATTGAGAGAGGACCCCAATAGGAAGGAAGAAAGGATTTCATAGCCTCCTACAAATCACCAAAGCAGACCTGGGAAATGTGCCCCCGACCCCCTTCCTTCCATGGCCCCCATCTGGCCACTGCCCCGGCTTCTTTGTCTTCGAAGGAACGCAGCCTGGACTCTGTGAAACACCTACCAGTGAGGGACGCCCGATTATCAGGTGCACCGACTGCATGGTGTAAACGTCTGTGCTGTTTTAACCTCCAGCGGCCCTGGAGATCCAAAGTCACGGCCTCTGGGCCTCTGGGCCATGAGGAGGTCAAGCACCCGTCAGCTTTGCTGCTTCTTAGCCAAGAACAGGTCCTAAGAAGTAAGGGCATCCTCTCCCCCCTCCACCTTTTGTTTGAGGGCCATACAGTTGGCCCTTCATATCTGTGGGTTCCACATCCATGGATTCAACAAACTGTGGATCAAAAATATTCAGGAAAAAAAGCTTACATCTGAGCTGAACATGTACAGATTATTTTTCTTTTCTTTTTTTTTTTTTTTGGTACTGAGGATTGAATCCTGGGGTGCGCTACCACTGAAGCACATCCCCAGCCCTTTTTTTTATTTATTTATTTTTGAGACAGGGTCTCACTAAGTTATCTAGGGCCTTGCTAAATTGCTGAGGCTGGCCTCTAACTTGGGATCCTCCTGTCTCAGCCTCCCAAGCTGTGCGAGATTACAGGCATGAGCTACTGTGCCTGGCCAGACTTTATATATATATTTTTTAACCTTGTCATTATTTCCTAAACAAACAAGGTAACAACTGTTCACATAGTACTTGTTCTAGGTATTGCAAGTTATCTAGAAAGGATTTGAAGTATGAGGAAAGGTTATATGGGTTATACACAAATGCTATGCTATTTTGTATAAGGCACTTGAGCATTTTGTGGATTTGGGTATCTGCTGGGGTCCGGAAAACAGTCTTTTATAGACACCAAGGGAAGGCTGTAGAAGATAGAATTCAGATTTGTACACCTCACTGTAAAATGCTGATGGTTCCCCGTTGGCCAAGGAGGGTATTCACTGATTGAGATGAAGAATAGACCCAAATTTCTGAAGTATCAGCCCTCAGAAGGACGAGAGCTTTGCACAGAGATCTACGACACATAGTGTGTGTCTCTGCCCAGGAGAGCTCAGAGAGAGCAGAAGCAAAACGTGTTTCCCCCATACGGCATGTTGTTGAGACCTTGCTCTTAATGGTATAAACCTTTGCAAATCCTCTAGATTGAAAGATGAATTGAGGGAAGCTGGTGTGTATAGCAGGAGGCATTTCAGGATGCCTGAGGATAATGTGACAAGCCCAGAGACTCAGGAGCAGAGGAACCACACGGAGGGTCCTGCCAGAAGGGGCAGGTGCAACTGCTGCTGAAGACTGTCCCTCAGACGGTCCTCTCTGATAATCACTAAGCCAGGCAGCTGCCCAGCCCAAGCCCACCTCGGGGCATCTGTCTTCACTCCCCCCGGGGAGCCTGCAGATGCCAACAGGGCCCCGCTGAGACTGAACTTGACTCATGGTTGTGTTCCCAGCGCCTGACCCCAAGCCAGGCACACACATCCACTGCGTGAACAAGTAAATTAACTAATGCGTCTGTGCAAAAGAGCCCCCTGAAAGAGCTCCGAT